ACAGACAAACAAAAATAAACAAGAAGAATATATAAATAAATATACAAAAAGGGTATATATATACATGTATATATATATATATATATATATATATATATATATATATATATATATATATATATATATATATATATATATATATATATATATATATATATATATATATATATTTATATAAAAAAAGGAAAGAATGTACGCATTGTTTAAATTTGTATATGTCAATAGATTTTATTTTTTTCATATTTTTGTCAAGAACCGAGTTCAACAAGCGTGGTCCCCAACATGTAATTGAGAAGCCAGATTTTTTGAGTGATGTTAGTGGGGTGTAGTAATTATTTATTGAGTGTCTTGTTTTATATTTATGATTAATAAGAAAGAAGTTTTTATAAAATTGTTTTGGAATTAATTCGTTTTAAAGTTTAAACATAAACAACAAATTATGGTAGATGTTTAATTTGTATACATTTAGGGCATTTATTTCCTTGAGTAACGGCTCGGCACTTTCGTATCTATCCATGCTAGAAACTAATCGACTTGCTTTTGTTTTGTATAAATAGTTTTTAGGAAAGGTGAGTGATTGTTTGCCCAGGCAATATTACAACAGTTAATATGACAATGTTTAAACGAAAAATATAAATTTTTTAAACATATTTTATTCAAAAGAGGTTTAGTCTTATACATTATCCTTAAAGTCTTTGAGACTTTGTTCTCGACTAGCTTTATTTGGCTTTTCCAATTTAAATGCTCGTCGAAAATTATTCCAAGTATTTTCATTGAAAAAACTCTTTTTATTTTAATATTGTTGCTAGTTAGTTCTGATAGTGTAAGTGGAAGGTTCTCGGATTCAGATGGCTTGGCAATACTAGGAATACTATTGGTACCTAAACTTTTTTTACTTTGTAAATTTTTTAAAAGATACTTCGTTTTCAGTGACTGGATCTATAAAAAAGGAGTTATTATTTGGGTTATTTAAATAGTCTGAAAAATTACATAAAGGAGAAACAATTTTTGTTAACAGTGTTTGTTGAGTATATACAAAGTAATTATTAATTATGTTTTCAGACAGCAAAGCTGTATTGCTGTCTGAAATTGTATTGCCATTAAATTTTAGATTAGATAGATTTACTGGAAAAAGAAGAAGGCTTGATGTTAATAATTTCTTTTATACTACTCCATGTATTTTAAGGTTATTGTTAAAAAAGTAGATGTAATATGATTTTTTAGAAAGTTTTAGTTAGATGCTAATGTTATTTCTGTACCATATAAAGTTATTAAAAATATGAATTTTAATTTTATGATTTTTTGCTTTTACATACTGTTTATATAATTTGTTTTTAATAGATATTGATTTTAGAATTCCATTAGTGATCCAAGGTTTTGATTTAAGTTTAATTTGTTTAGCAGTTAGTTTTTTTATAGGGTGCATGTTGATCAAGAATTTTGTTGAAAGTTCTTTAAAAAAAAGTTCAAGGATTCATTGACATTATTGTTATTTGTAATTTGTATTTGCCAGTCTGCATTAGAGATATTCTTTATTAAATTTTTCATTATCGAAATTTTGGAAGGCTCGTCTGAATATTATCTCCTTAGTTTTTTTGGGAGGAGGACAAGAAATGCAGATAAACTGCGCCATATGATCAGAAATCGATATTGTAATATTGCCTAAAATTAAATCAGGAGTTTGGAAATTTAGAAAGATGTTATCAATGAGTGTCTTAAATGTAACAGTGTAGGTTGAATTATAGAAGGAAAAAAAAAATAAGAACATAATGTATCAAGATAAATTAGAGATAACTTTCGGTTTATTATAATTTAAGAAGTCCATATAGAAATCAACCATAAGGACAACTTGTTTATTTTCTGAACTAAGCCTCTCAAGTAAGGGATTAAAATGATCAGTAATTCATTAGAGTTCATTGATGGATGCCGATATATAATGCCAACAATAATATTTTGTTTCAGGGGATTGACGATTTCAACAAAGATAGATTCCAGGTATTTAGGAAAATATACTATAAGATCACGACGAATAAAGTGGTTAAAATGGGTTCTTTTCCATTCACTCTCTAAAAAACGCTGTTTACCCCAAAATTTGCCCAAAATAATTATTGATAAAGTTGAAATAAAAAGAGATTTTGTTACTAAATTTTTAGGAGTGGTTCTCGACGAGAACATTACATGGAAACCGCATATAGAATATATCTGCTCAAAAATATCTAAAAGTAACGGAGTCTTATGTAAATCCAGATCATATTTAAACAAAAAAGCCTCAACCCAAATCTATTACTCATTTATACACACCTATATTAATTATGTCAACATTGCGTGGGGAAGCACCGAAAAAAATAAGCTAAAATGCCTTTTTCGCCGTCAGAAGCATGCGATCCGATTGATTAATTTTGCGGATCGTTTTACTCATTCCAAACCATTATTTATGGAGATGAAAATACTTATTATTTACGAGCTCAATGTTTATAACATTTTATGCTTTATTTACATGTGGAAAAACGATTTATTATATATTAATTATATTCAATCAAAAATTAGTAAAACAATTGGTCTAATGTACCGTATTTGTCCATATGTAACATCAGAAAGCCTGAAATTAGTATATTTTGGCCTAATACATTGTTTGATATACTATGCCAATATCACATGGGGTAGTACTCAACCAACAAAACTTAAAAAAATATTTTCTCTACAAAAACATGCATGCAGACTTATATATATATATAAAAAAATATGAACATGCAAAACCATTAATGGAAGACATGAAAATGATGAATATATATGAAATTTTTAAATTAGATAAATAGTTTTTTTGATTTTTTGAAATAAAAAACGAGTTCCATTATTCTTAGTTTTTTTACTTGTTAATTGGCTCTTATTTTGATACTTAACAGAGTTGCTAATATATTTTAATGAATATTGACAAAACTATATGATGCTATTTACTTTCTTGATTTAATGGAAATATTTATGCAAGCTTTAACCTTTTTACTATATTGGAGATACTATTTTTTTTTAACTTGTAAAACCCACCTAGGGGCTCTATGAAAAGATTGTGGTGACTTTAGTCATCCGTATCTTCTTTGAGCCCCTGCCTGTTTATTATAAATTTACTTTTTTTTATATGTAAACGTTTCTTTGTAATTATATTTCTTAATATATAAATAGCAAATATATATTAAATTAAAAAAAAAAAAATTTAACTTTACCTGTCTTTAAAGACCTTTTTCCTCTAAACCCAATTAATAAATATTTACTTAGAAATAAAAATTTTGCATTACATTTCGAGCACCTTATCTATGGAATAAAATTGTTATACCTAATTTTGATATATCCAATACATTTCCGATCTTTAAAAGTAAACTTAAAAATTTTATTTTATTTATTGATGATATATTTAGATAACAAACACGTATTTGTCTTTTTATAACAAACACGTATTTGTCTTTTTAATTGTAAGACTTGTATTTTCTCTTGCCTATTAAAAAGAGATGTATTACTGTATTTTCTTTGTATATATATGTATTTATATATTTACGTTTTTATAAGATCTGATGATATGATCAGACTTTTTATTATATATAACATTAGTGGTTTGATTTATATTTCTAATTTATATCACGATTTATTGTAATTTTTTAGTTTTGTTAATGTATAAATTTTAAAAAACTTGTAAAAGGTTCTGATGATAAGATCATTTTGATCTTCTCTCAGAAGCCTTTTCTGTTTATCTTTGTAAACAACGACAAAAATGTAAAAAAAAAAAAAAAAAAAAAAAAAAAAAAAAAAAAAAAGTTAAAGTTTGAGCGTAAATATAGAAGAGCACCACCTTTTTTGGCCTCAGTAGGACTATACTCAATATTAAAACGATTTATATTAACATCAGTTTTACTGGAATCATTAATATTTAATTTTGATTCAAAGATACCAACTACTATTAGAAGAGTGGTAAAAGAGCTTATTAGACTGTCAATGTGATAAGGGAACGAAGCAATGTTTAGATGGAGGTATAAATTACAATTATTAAGAACTTTATTAAGTTCAAGAATGTCATAATATTTACAGTTAATACTTTTGTTGGAGATTTTGTTTATATTATTGAACAACTTTTTGAAGTGAGGTGGAGATTCTAGAGATTTTAAATTATTGGTTGGTTTTGATTGGTTGGTACGAGAGTTTGAGACGACAAAGTAAAAGAGAGCTCAAAATCAGAAAGCGAATGGCAAATTTTTGCAGTCACTACAATACCAGTCAGTAGAACCTTTGTCAATAAGGCTATAGGCCTGTTTGTTGATAGCTCTAGTGTAGACTATATGCGAATGTAAATCTCACCGTTTTTCACGTGAATGTTAAAAAATATGTGAACATGTAAAAGAATATTAAAAAGGAAACCCTTATTTTAACCTAGGCTATTTCTAACACTTAAAAATAACAGAAAGTATTTTTCTTGACTTACCTTTTGTTATAGACTTTGTTATAGACATGCAAGACACAACCCAGCGGGCATTAATTTTTAAAAGTTACGTTCTAAATGTATTTTAAACGTCTTCTAAACATTCTTACATAAAGAACATTTAAAAGACTTTAAAAGACTTTAGAACGTAACTTTAAAAAAGAAATGCCCGTCTAATTTAGAAATATTTCGTGCTAAATAAAAAATTTACACCATGTTGAATTAAAGCATTTGCATTCAGTTGTTTAAATTATTTTTGGTTAAAATTATGGGGTTAGATATAAATAAGTTATTCGTTAAATAATTATCGCTAAATCGCTGAGATTTATAAAGCTAGTAAATTAAGAGGATTTATCGAGAAATACGATTAATGTCTCCAAATGTGACGGCCAAAAAAATATTATTTATTAACTATAACTAAATTTCTTTTTATTGGGAGGTTTCAAATTTTCTTTAATTTCTCAGCGTTCAAAAACTGACCATCTAAAAATCAAAACCTCTCAAACTAAAATTAAACACAAATTAGAAACACATATTACAACATCAGGCGAGAACATTGAAAGAAAAAGTATACATTTAAGAAAGTTTTTTAATTTTACAAAAAAGGTAAATATATGTCACAAAAATGAATATAAAAAAATATATACTACAATTACAAAGTAATAATATTAAAGTAAAAAATAATAAGAAAATTTTTTAAAAAAGTAAAAAACCCTTTAGATATATAGAAAATATAAGTAAAATGGAAATAATAAAATAAAAAAAAAAAACTTAGCGCAATCAAATCTTATACATCCATAACTAAGCGAACCTTTATTTCAAAAAATAGAGTTTCAAAATAAAGTATCCAAATAACAATAAAAATATATATAAAAAAAAAAAACAATTATAAAAATAAAATTTGCAGAAACACTGCGTTCTAATCTGAAATGGAGTTTAATAAACACGCGCATACGCAATTTTAATAATCGCAGGAGTTTATTTAATTAGATACAGTTATTTAATAAGATACAGGAGCATCTTATTTTAATTTAAAACATTTTATGAAATTGTTTACAATTATAATAACTAATGAAACTGAATATATCACAAATAATGTAAAGAACCTGATTTCACATAATCGAATGTTACCTTAATTTCAAACAAAAATTTATAACAAAATTGTCGAAAATATTACCTGTCACTATAGTAAAGGCTGTCATATTGAAAGACAAAATATAACGGGTCTTGCAATGCATTTAGATTAAATTTTGCAATGTAAAGCGTTTTTATTTGCTTTTGTTTTTTTTTCTATGACAATTCAACTAAATTTGTCATGTCTAAACTGTTTCAAAAACATCTTCTGGTTTTTAATATGAAAAATGTTACATATAAAATTATTTTCAGTTAAAACATAAAAAGGAAACGACACCGTATTCATTTTGACTTTCTATGTAAAAATTTATATTGTCAATGTACCTGTAAATCTATGCCGTCAATTTACGTTTAAATTTACTTAAATACTGAACTCCAAATAAACAGAATTTACTTTGTTTTTTAAATACTGTACAGAATTTACTTTGATATTGTATATATGTATGTAGTATTTGCAAAACATTTGATCAACAACATGAGTTTCTTCTTCAAAGCTGTAGCAAAGAATTGAGACCAAGATATGGGTGATCAAGACTTCAAAATAGATCTTCCAAAATTCAACAAACTCACTTTTTTATTCCAAAAAATATAAAAAATTATACTCCACTATTCGTCCATTTAATCTGTTGCATGTGTAGATGTTGTTCATAAGCTAGCTAAATATTCAAAAACCATAGAACAATATACTAATAACATTCTTAGATACAACAACTATTATTATTAATATTGTAAATATTAAACTGAATATAAACCAGGAAAACCTCTAAAGTGGGAAAAAGATTTAATCCCTGCTATAAGAGATCCATAATTTAAAGTTATTACTGTAGTTAATATTTGGGCAAAAGATAGGTATGGAGATAAGTGAAGTGTTTGTTAAAATACCAACTGTAATTGTCTATCAATATAATAATTTAAATATCTAAGCATATTAAGAAATATCTATTTTAGGTAATGTAAGTGGTTCTTAATAGATACTGTTTCCTAATTTACTGGCTACTAATTAAAAGAAAAACAGTAAAGATAAAAAAAAAATACCTCAAAACATTGACCAATTGTCACAACAACTTTATCAGCAATTTCCTAAAATATTAATGTATATGTGTGTGTGTAAATATAAGTGTATATATATATATATATATATATATATATATATATATATATATATATATATATATATATATATATATATATATATATATATATATATATATATATATATATTTATATTTATATATTTATATATTTATATATTTATATATTTATATATATATATATATATATATATATTTGTATAAACATATATACAAAAATATATATATACACATGTCGTCAGCATATTTTTGGAGAATGGTTTCGGGTCAGAGATAGTAGTTAATGTCAGAAATTAAGAGAACTGTACCATAAGCACTACCTTGAAGTACTCAGGCTTCAATACATTTCCATTGAGTGGTAAGATCATTTGCTTTAATTCTTTGGTGACAGTTAGATAAGTAAGTTACAATCCTAGTGAGCCAGCTAGGTAGAATATTTATTAACTTTAGCAGTAATTTGTCATGACTGACAAGATCAAATGCTTTTGCAAAATCAAAGAATGTTGCAAAAATTGATTTGTTATTATCTTTAACATAACTCCAGTCCTCGATAATTTGAATAATAGCATCGATTGTACAATTTCCCGGAAAGAAACTGAACTGCTTGTTTAAGACCCATATGTGCTTGGTGTGATGGATAATAAAATTGCTCATAATGTGTTCAAAATCTTTGCACAATGCGAATGTAATGGATTGGATTGTAGTCATTAGATAAGAGTGGCTTAGATATTTTAGGAATCGGTATTATGTTTATTGATTTCTACTGATCAGGTAGGTAACTGTTTTCTATGAAGCAGGTAAATAGGATACAGACTGATGGAGCAATTTCAAAGCGAGAAGATTTGAGTAAAAGTGGAGAAAGATCATTTGGTTCTGATGATCCTATCTTTAGTTTGTTGAGTTGGTTGAGAAAGTTATTGAGTGTAAAAATGGGGGTAATAGGTGAATTTACTTTTTGTTTGATGAAGAATGAGAGTTTAGGTTGTTTCTTACCAATCCAAACACTTTGAATATGATCGTTTAATTGGTTTGCTAACATCTCAGAGATATGGGTGGTGATTCCTTCGTCTGCTAGCCTAATTTCTCACGAAAAATCTTTTTTTTCAGAAGAGAATCACCTGTTATAGATTCTTTTTGTTTTGGTATTAAGTTTACTGACTCGATTGGCAAGTTCTTTCCACTCGTTGTAGTACCTAGAAAAAAAAAGTCCTTGATGCTCTTTCATAAAGTTTTGAATAAATGGTGCCATCCAAGGCTTGGGGTTACCAAGCATTATTGTTTTTAAAAGTTGGCAGATGTCTTAAGCAGAGAGTATAAAATAATAAAAATTACAAGGAACTGGGCAAGTAGATTTATTAAGATTTAGAGGAGGCTGACTAACTACAACTAAGTGATTGGAATTACCAAAGCTAGAAAGGGTATTGGACACATAGGATTAGGAGCATGATGTCAAGATTAGCTGATTTTTGGGTAGAATGTGCATTAAGGTTGATGAGTTAGTGAGATTGACAAAAAAAATCAGTAGGGCAGCCATTTAGATCCCCTGCAAGAAATATTAGTGGTTTGTTGCCCAATGTACAGTGAGTTATGGCTGACTCAATAAGTTGTGTAAGTTGATAAGATGCATATATAATATGTATATAGTCACTTTGAGACCATACCGGAATATAGGCACATATAACTAGACAGCAGGAGTATCCACGGGGTAGGTATTTCGGGTATACACGACTGATTGTTAATTCAATTTCTTGTTTAGACTCAGAGTTAGACACTTGGCCTGTCATTAATTTTATTTGTTCTATTTTATCTGAGTACTTTTTGTTTATGATAATCAGGCAGGCAATGTCAGAAATTGTACCTGTAAGAAATTGATTAAAAATCTCAACTTTGTTACAGAGTGAGCGCATATTGTGCAGATGGTTGGTAAGCAAATGGTATTGATACTAGAGGAAATTGGTTGGCATGGAGCGGGGAGTAAGGGACCACGAATCTTGATGATTTCTTCATCACAGATGCCCCAGTGAAAGGGTGAACCAGGGTTATCAATACAAAGTTTATCATTACAAGTATGGCGGTCTTTGTGTAGTGAATAATCGAGTTGCTTTTCAGGTGTTAAATCAGGAATAACTATGTAGTTCTTGAAAGCTTTATGTGTGCATATATATATATATATATATATATATATATATTTATATATTTATATACACGAACACACACACATATATATATAAATAAATATATATATATATATATATATATATATATATATATATATATATATATATATATATATATATATATATATATATATATATATATATATATATAACAATAATCATATTTGTTGAGAAAGAAAGGTAGAGAATAAAATCAGGATTAATATAAAGACAACCACAATAAAAAAATAGGTGCTAACAATGCAATCCATCACATGAAAGGTTTCCATGAGAGGTCAGTAATGAAAAGTAATCCAAGAAAACATAAAAAAGAGGATTCAATGAGAGAGTTGCCATTCATCATTATAAGAATGTCAGCAATATTGCAATAGTTTTTTGGTGAAAATAATTGAGTTTTGTTGGAATTAAAATTTACAAACCCCGAGCTGTTACAGAAAAGAAATCAGATTTAATACTGGCTGTCTGTTTTAAGCAATTGAAAAGAGAAGACTTTTTGTTAAGGTAGCACAGTGAGATATAAGCAGGCCAAAATTAATTTTTTTTTTACTTATTGGTTTATACAATGGATTCAAAAGCTTACACATTCAACATAAATAATTTAAAATATCAAAAATTTTAAAATTTCAACGAGTTATTTAGGTACAAAGTTAAAATTTTTGGTCAAAAGTGTAATTCAAGAGAAACTTTATATTTGATGTTTGGACTAATTTATACATATATACATTTATGGAAAATTTCATGAGATTAAACCTGTGAAACCTGTTTTTCCATTTATGCCATTTCATGGTTTCATGGTTTAGATAATTTAGGTTTTTTAAAAAAAATGAAGATATAACAATTTTAGACATAGTCAAACCTTAAAAATACATAAAATAATATTAACTTGCAGTTATTAAGAAAATAACTTGGCCACTTTATTGTATGTAACCATCCCACTGTAGACAGGAGTATAAAGTTAAGTCATCAGCTAATAGAGCCACTTTAGATGCAAGATTGTCAGAAAGACCATTAATGTAGATAAGAAACAATACAGGACCAAGGAACAGAATCTTAAGAAGTTACTGGAAATAAAGAAGAGTGTTGGCCTTCTAGTTTCTAGAACCTAACTTCTGAGATGAAAGATTTAATAAACTGGAAATAATGGAGCTTACCATTAGACAGCACCTTTTTACATTGATTTCTTGTAATAATAAAAATGCATTTGTTCTCAAGAGATTTGTTCTTGTGAAAAAGATGAAAAAAATGATTACGATTAGATATAGCAGCTGCACAAGATAGTGAAAAAGAAGGTAAAAACCATGGAGTAGAATGAAGGCTTTCAATTGATGAGAAGGAATAACCATGGGGTAGAATGAGGCTTGATTTGAAATAAAGAAAAAGGAATAAAATGTGTTACATCAAATAAGACTTTTGATTTATTAGCAATATATAAGATTATATGACAAAAACAGCATAAAATTTTAGATTTTTTATACATTTCTTCCATCCTATTACATCTCTTTGAGAGAATTTAAAGTTGGAAAATTGTTCAAAGTAATCCAAAATGCTAACCTTAACCTGTAAGCTATGGCTTGAAATAAAATGTAACAAAAAAACAAACCGTTGTTTCAGCTCTAAACACATGGCAATAACTCTGCATTGTATGCTCATCTCGTGTGATATAAGCAAACACATTCATGTCATCAGGATCTTGAGCGCAGAATGAGATGTGATTTATGGCGTACTGGCTAATAATTAACTAAAAGAAAAAAATAGTCATATGACTTTTACAGCAGTTTTAACAGTTACATTAATTTATCTAAAATTTAAAAATCATTTTTATGTAAGGTCCAATGCAGGCTTATTATGCACAGTTACATGATCTTAATTTGTTACTAATAAGCTTGTTATTTATGTCATACTTATATATCTTTAATATGTCATATTTATATCAGTATTTGTGTCAATAAAGAACATACATAAATTAATAACTTATTGTAAATAACATACAAACTTTTGCACAATTCTAATTCATTTAATTTCTTTTAATAAAAAATGGCACAAGCAAGTTTTTTAAAGTTTTTTTCTATTTAACTTACCCATTTACTCATATTTTCTAAAAACTGTAAAAAGTTTAAATGTATGTCAAAGAGTACTACTACTATGAAGATTTTTTAGATATTTTTGTGTATGATTTTGCCAAAAGATTATTGCTTTTAAAAATATTAAAAGCGCACAGCAAGTGAGTAAGAATAATCACAAATCATGACACTAAAATTGTGTCATGATATATATATATATATATATATATATATATATATATATATATATATATATATATATATATATCAAGGCTGTGAAGTTGGAGTTGTGAAGTCAGAGTTGCGACATTTGTAGCAGAGTTGGAGTCGCAAAACAAAATTGTGACTCTGACTCCAATAGTAAAACTTCTCAGTATTGCTATATATATATATATATATATATATATATATATATATATATATATATATATATATATATATATATATATATATATATATATATACATATATATATATATATATATATATATATATATATATATATATATATATATATATATATATATATATATATATATATATATATGTATGTATGTATATATATATATATATATATATATATATATATATATATATATATATATATATATCAAAGTGTTAACCAGGATTAAATTTGATACACAATTTTGTATCAAATTTATTCCTGGTTAGCGTGTTTTGTATCACGAAAATGGGAATTTGTCAAAAAATTTCCCAATCTCCATCCTCCCTTCCCCCACAGTGGTCAGAAAAGCTTGAAATAAGCTTTTAAATAATTTTTTTGGTTAAAATCTATTTGTTTTTTAACATTTTTGACAACTTAAAATGTAATAGTTTTAATAATAGAATAACATTGAAAACATCATTATCACAATATAGTGAAAAAATAATTAATTAGATTAAGTTGTAACCATTTCCACAAGAACTTCATGAAGTTTAAGTTCAATTCAATTCATTTTTTACACTTTAGATAACTTGAATTTTTTTTTTTACTTGGAATAACAATGAAAACATATTTATCACACAAAAAATTTATAAAAATAATGAATTTTAATAAGTTGTTTTCATTTTCACAAGAATTTTGTACTATATTTAAATTAAAAATAATTTTAAATGCCCAATAACTTAATCTGAATCACTATTATCACGAAAGCCTGGTGACTAGTGTAGTGGTGTGGTTGGTTCAGAACACTCAAGTAAAGAAACAATCCTTGCTGGCAGTTTTCTCTTCTTTTTAAATCTTTGGCGTTTTCCAACACATGATCCTTGAACCTTTAGATCACTCAAATCTGTGAGCCTGTGGAACATATCAGCCATGCCATGTGCCCATGAAGACTTTCTTGTATGATGCATTCTGAAGTTTCTCAAAAACTTATTGTTGGCTTCAGATCATTCTTGACTTGTGAGTCCAATTGGAAGAGGGCAATTGTCAATAAGATCCTTGCCATGTTTGAAAATTTTGTGAAGTGTTAGAGGTAGAAAATACCAATCACAGCCATTCTCTTCATCAAAATAGATTTCTTCAGTTTCCTTGCAAAGTTCAGCAAACTTTGTTAAATTGATGGTAAATCCACTTGACAGTGCTCCCCAGATTGTGGCAATGTTCTCAACAAGTTTAACTGGAATTTTACAAATCTCTGCTGCAATTGCAGGGTTGTCAAAGGCAATACAGGCAACATTGCCAGCAGTGGTTGTTTCGGCACCGCCATCCCGTCTTTTATCAATAATAATGTCTAATTTTTATGCAATAATGTCTAATTTTTATGTGCCTTCACAAGTTCTTGTGTAGTTGCAATGTTTGCTTTCTCCTCTGTTGTCAAATGCTTTCGATATTTTTTGATGTTTTGCTTGTAGCCAATGTGACAAAGGCTATCAAAAGCTCTAAAGCCAAAACACAAAACTGATGCTCTAAGGTCCAAAGATCCAGGCATGGGAGTAAAATCTCCATCAGGCTTAGCAATTTTCCCACAAGACTCATGGCATATTGGGCATGATGATGATGCTGGACAGTCTGTCAATTGTTGGAGAACCTTTCCATCCACCATGCTGAGAAGTCCATGGGAGGTAACTTTGACTTCTGGATTTTCAGACAAAATGTAAAGCTGAAGCCTGGTCGACTCATTTTTTTTCTTTCATGACTTGACAAATGTCCCCATTTTTGATTTCAATCAACTCAGTGCCTTTTTGTGGCAAGGACATCTGAAAGAAAAATTATAAAAACTTTTAAGCATGTTTTTTTGCATTTACTATCAAATGAAAACTGTACATTTACATTTTGTTTGAGTAGCATGAAATATTTGCAACCGAGAGAGAGCTGTTAATAATTTGCCTGAAATTGTTCTTTGGTTCTTCTAATGCTAATTGAAATATAGGAAAAGTTGAATAAGATAAAAATTCTTACCTTCAAACCATAGATGATGTCTCAAATTAAAACATTGTTGTAAAAATATTAAGACATTTTTCAGTTTCAATAATTTGATTTTTAACCCTTGCTCTTTGAATGGGACGAAATACAAAAATTCAGTGCACTAGAACAAAAATATTTCAAGTGAACTTTCTTGAAGGTTTGAAGAATTATTTGGCATAAAATTTAGTTCGTTTTTTAAAAATTAGTATTTTTGAATTATTTTGCATTTTCAAGCCTTTCTGACCACTGTGCCCCATCCCATCCCCTTTGAGATTAAAATGTGTTGGAATGCGTTGGGTCTTTTTATTTTCTTCTTTCCTTTTCTACTCCAAATAAAAATATCATCTGAAACATTTATTGAAGATGAATATGAAATCAACACAAAATTCAATTGACTTCACAATGACACCCAAAGTAATTTTCGATTATTAAGAATGATATATTTTTATATTATTTTAATCAGTATATATTAATTATTATTAAAAATTATATATTTGACTTTATTTTTATCTTAATATATAATTGCTACTTTCATTTTAAGAGTATTCTTTTGAATACATATTTCTTTTTCACTGGTGGGCATTGATGTAAATGGATTTCTTTTTTAATACCCGAGCAAATTGAGAAAACAACTAAATGATTAACACATTTCTCAAACACAAAGGAAACCATTTATGGAAGAATTCTTTACCATTATATTGATTGCAAGCAATTGCACGCAATCATTCTAACAAAGTACACCAATAACAACTTTTTTATTCATAGTCATAAAATGTTATTAAGACAATGGTTCATTCAACTATTTGAATTTGCTTTTACTTTTTAAATTCAAGCAAGTGAAAGCCAGTTTTCTTGTTTTTTAAATTTCTAGTTTTTTTTATTATAACAGTTTGATATAATAAAAAAAACATTTTCGTTATTAAACGTATTTAATTTACATTTTAATTTACAAGCAAGCAGTAAAGTAAAGGAATCTATTTTTCTTGTTATATAAATTTCTACAGTTTGTTATAGCCATAAAACATTTATTGTATTTAACTTCGTTTATACAGCAGTTTTTTTAAAAACTTAATCGAGAAATAATAGTAGGTAGATAAAAAAAGATTTTTGTTGATGCCAATAAGTAAAAAAAGATGTAAGTCAATGCAATTACCTCATTTAGTTGATATAAAATACCAAACAAAAAAAGAAAAACAATAACTAAAAGACTTACCGTTATATCCGCATTGATCAAAACTTTTAAAGTATCTGACGCAAACAACTTCTTGATATTTTGAATCAACTTAGTTAAAAAAGCACATGTACTACTTGAAATAGAGTTTGCAGTTTTGCAGGTCCGACGAAACACAAGGGCAGGGGGGTCAGAGAGCATGTGCCCCTGCATTTTTTTTCTAAAAGACCTTTTTTATTTTAGAAAATCCTAGATACAGAGGACGTTTTTTAGAAATTGATGTTTGTGCCCCTCCACTTCGAAACCCGTGTTGTCAGCCATGATAAGTTATTTGAATTTTTAGCCAAAATGGGCAAAACTTTTAAAAAAATGGCATTTGCAGATGTTAAATCAAACATATTTGTAATTTTTTTAGATTGGACTTTATTTTTTGCTAACTTTTTTATATAATATTTGCTGTTGTTGGAAGGCATTATAAAAAATTATTAGCAAATTTTGAGAAATAAATTTTAATTCAAAAACTATTAAAGAAAATCCCTAAAATCGCTGGGAAAGTCCTATCTCTCAAGAAGTTTATCCCAAGAGACATTTTCACAGTTAAGGTGAGTTTCCACTCATCTGTTCTTCTACGGGAACAGGATAGGAAAGGGAAAAATAATCACGCAAGCATGCATAGTTTTACTTTAAAAAAATTAAAACTTATAATACACATATCCGTGTGATTATTTTTTCTTTTCCCTTTCCCGTGAAAAACGGATGAGTGGAAACTCACCTTAATTCAATCGCGTAGTTATACCAATAACAGCGATTTTATTTCAAGTTAAACACAACTACTGAATTAGAATTTCTTATGTTATTTTTCTATTAGTATTTAATAACAATTAATTTTCTATAATTTTGAGAATTATTATTTAATTTTAATTTATGATTTAGCATACTTTATTAGAAGAATGGGATTTTTTAAATTGGGAATTTTAATATCATGAGCATTTGGGAATACAGCGTTTGAGGGCTAATTTACACCCTGTATATATATATATATATATATATATATATATATATATATATATATATATATATATATATATAATTTATTTAAAGTTGTAAAATGCTTACTTTACTATTCGAGTCTATGTAGTCAATTCCTCTTGCAGATATAGAGAGAAGGATTAAAGGCATTTTGGTTATGTTACGACTTATTGTCTGAAATCAAAAATTGTGCATACAAAAAATATTAAAAAGCAGTGTGAATATTTTTTAAATCAAATTTATTAAATGCAAAAAAAACATACTTTCATTTTAGCACAAGCTTCAAGTGTAGAAGTTACACCTTTTACATGCTGAACAGGATGGGAACCCAAATACTGAAAATAAACAAAATTGCTGCATTCAGATAATTGAAAATTGTTTAAAATGGGGTATGGAAACATTTTCTTCTTACATGAATTAAGAATGAAACAGATCCCATTAACAACACATCAGGATTATGTAACCAATTTTTATTTGAACAAAATTTTTTTTCTTTATCATCACTGCTTACATGGTTAACCTGCTTGCTTTTTGTTTCGTTTAAATGAGACTACAAAAAAAACTGTTTTGTTGAAACAACTTCATTTTTATGTGCAAAGTATTTTAAAAATAATAACAAGTTAATTAACCAATAACTAAACAAATAAATCTACATTAAATAATACTAATATTAATAAAAAAATTTACTGTAACTGGTAAAATTTAAAACATCAAAATTTTAAAATAAAATAGTACTGTAAACAGTTTAATTGTAGAAAAAAGAAAAGTGATTTGTAAAACTATTTCCGATAAAAACTTGATAGTTAATTTATTACTTAACAAAAACTTGTTCCTTATAGCACATCCTAGTTACAAAAAAACTTGTTCCTAATAGCACACCCTAGTTACAAAAAAACTTGTTCCTAATAGCACATCCTAGTTACAAAAAAACTTGTTCCTAATAGCACACCCTAGTTACAAAAAAACTTGTTCCTAATAGCACATCCTAGTTACAAAAAAACTTGTTCCTAATAGCACAAAATAGTTATATAAAACTATCTAACTTCCATTAGCAAATCAGAGTTATGCAAAACAATCTTGTTCTTAATAGCACATTATAATTATAAATAACAAACTTGTTCTTAATAGTACATCATAGTTATACACAACAATCTTGTTCTCAATAGCACATCATAGTGATACATAACAAAATATTTTATACTGAAGCATACTTTTTTTACCATATTGTAGTATTTTATGTATATCTAAATTACAATATAGAATATTTTATGATTTTATGAATATAATAAAGAAAAAATCTTTAAAAGGTTTTTAAAATTATTCTCTTCCACTAAATCAACATTAAGTAGACTAGTTGAAAGTCGAAATAAGTCGACTTTGAAAAATTGAATAGTTTATTTAATTGATTATGAACTTTCTACTAATTGATCTAAAAATCGATTTATTTGACTAAAAATCAATTTATTTGACTAAAAATTGATTTATTATGCTTTAAGTCATTGGTTTTTAGTCTGCTCTGATTCCAAAATGCCAAATTTTTTTAGTTAAATACAAAATCAATTAAATGTGTAACAATTAGAAAAGTCATCAATAAAATGTAATAATAAAAACAAAATTATTTGTAAGTTTGTGATATAATTTTAAGTTTATTATTGTTAGCCTAGTGTAGCTTTAGTTAATAACTTTTCTCTGATCTTCGGCAAATGCATTAATTTTGCTTCTATATTCTATATTCTAGGGTGTTTACAACACTAAAAGTAAAAATACAAAAAAAAATCCCGCATAATCATATGTAGGACCCTCTGTAAAAAACATAAAAAGTTACTACACTTTTAAACAAAAAAAATCCTTTTTAAAGAATGTTGATATAAGAATATAAACCTGTTTAACAAGTGTGGTAAGTGACAACTACTTTATGTGCATTAAACATAATGTTAAAACAAAACTTCTTAAATTGTTTCAAGTTAATTGAACTTATTAGAGAAATTACAGGAAACACAATTGTTCCTGTAATTTCTCTGAAATGTTCAATTTACAAATAGTCATAACAACAATTTGTTTAACTGTGCTTTAGTGGATTTTTATACAAATGTAATTTCAGAAAGCATGTATAACAAAAAGCAAATACTTTACATGTTCACATTTGCAACTTTCTTGTTTAATATTTATATTTTACATTAACTCATGTTCAATAACTTTGACCTGTGATGGCCACTAACCATGCATGAGACACAATCTACGTATATTTTCATCATAAAAATATAACCATAAATGGATTGAAAGTAATTTGTAACCATAAATGGATTGAAAGTATTGAAAGGATTGAAAATAACCATAAATGGATTGAAAGTAATTTGTAAGTAAAATGTAATTTGTTAATGGAATTAAAATGTTTTACTCAACAAAAGTAAAATGATGAAGATATCACCACAAAAGCTCACTTAAGCTTATACGACATCTAGAAAACTCAATAGAAAATAGAGAATAGAGAAATAGAAAATTAGAAAAAAAAAGAAGAAAAGAAGAAACTAAAGGTCACATACTGAACAAAATAACTTTCACATAGATTTTTAAAAGCCTTATACCAACTTTAAAGGTTTTTTTCCAGGTTTAAATAATTTTTTCAAGATAATATAAAATAATTAAAAGAAATATATTAAATAATTTCAACAAAAGTCTTTCGTAACATCACATACAAAAGCTTTGTGAAAAAGTCTCATTTAAGATTTAAAATGAATGAGAAAATGTGAGAATATAGCAATCTTACCAAAAAGCATTGTGAATTGAAATATCAAAATTGTTAATTTACTTAAAATGTTGATTCTATGACAAAACATAAAATATCATAAATGTATGAATATTCAAAATACCATAAAACTAGAAAATATTATAAAACTGGAAAACAGTTGTAATCCACTGAACTACACATGTTTTGCGTAATATGAGCATATATTTATTATACTGGAAATTTTGTGCTTCTTTGAAGGATGAAAATTAAATAAAGTTGTTGTGATATTTTGATGTAAAACAAAAATAAAGGAGAAAGTTTTTTAGTTACAAAACATAAATAAAAGTTTTCGTAATTTTAAACATGTTTCCGAGCCTCTTAAAACTTTTTACTTAAAAATATCCAAACTTGAAAAGTATCCTGAAGAAATAAAAAAAGTATGTGACACCCTAATGGTAAGGAATGTTACAGGTCTTGTGATGAATATAAAATGCTTAACACATTTACATAAAGGAGTTTTTGACGCCATAAAATTCTTTTTATTTTTATGGACTTTAACTTTTTTGAATTAATTACAGTTACATTAACAACAATAATTACAATGAACTAAATTACAGCAAAACTTGTTTAATTGAATAATTAAAAATATGTAGAAATACTATTTTGTTATTAAATGTAGCAATTTATATTATGTTATTTCATAATGTTTACTTAGATTTTAGTTTTTTAGATTACAAAAATATTTGTTTATTCTCTTGACATTTTACACAATCATGCTCTGTTTATAAGTAAATGAATAAAAAAAGATTTGTTTTATTTACTTGTGTTATTTAAATGTGTTATTAACAATTGTTTAATTTAAATAAATTTTATTTACACTTAGTTCATATTTTTTATTGTTTACAAAAAAATTTATTTCTAGTAAAATAAAATAAAAAAGGTGAAATAAATGTCTTGAAGGTTTAAACAATAGGTAATTCCTGAGAAAAAGTAAAATTTGCTTATAGAACAACAAATAATAAAAGTTGGGATAAGATTTAGAAAAATCAATCAAGTTAAAACCTAAGCATAGTTAAATATGAGAAATATATTTTGCATATAGGCTAGCTTATTTTAAGCGTTCATGCTTTTAAGGAATGCCGCGCCTGCCAGGTGATAAAATCAATTATTATATAGAAGCTAAACAACTAAATTTTTTAGCTGTTTGGTTTCTAAATAATAATTTTCAAGCTAAATTAGTTAAAAGTAAAGATTCTAAAATAATGTTTTAATTCTGGTTGTTGTTGTATTTCAAATACCTTCTTCTAATAATGCTCTTTCACTTCTAGACAAGGTCCAAAAACGCATTGACATATTTCAACTTTTCAAGTCTTCTTCAACTTTTCCCTGCCCTATTTTATGAGTCAGGCAAACATGTTAACAAAACAACCAATCATGGTAGTATTTGCAAAAAAGAGAGAAATGCATGAAACAATTATACATTATCATTGCAACAATGGGATAGAGTTTAACAATATTTACAATTTTTATGTTTTTAAATTTTATCTAAAACAAAAAGGGGCCATATTAGAAGAACCAACTCAAATATAACAAAATTAATTTCTCCCATTAACTCAATTCCTTTTTTCTAGTAACTCCCATCTTAATAGTGGTTGCTTACAGCCTTGCTGAGAGTGAATCAGAATTTTAAAAATAAAAAACCATGGGTAAATGTAACTTATAAAACTAACATTGTTCTAATAAATATTCCCATATTTGTCAGATTAATTTGCTTAGGTCAATTTTTTTTAAAATTTTTTTTACAATATGTTCATTTGACCTCATATTAAAACAATAATAATAACAATGTTGATATTTTGATAAAATTTAGATTTATAAAAATGTAAACTTTATTATTTTAATTTTTTCTGAATTTATTATATTTGTAAATAATAAGCACATTTTACGCACTTGTAATTTAACACAATACATAATAATAAAAAAAAAAGTATAATCAGTGTTTTCAATAATAACTTTATTCCATTTTAAGAGTTCTTGGTGTTATAACTAACTTTAGAAGGTTAACACAGCTGAGACAGATAACAAGTTAAAAAACCTTTTTTTTTTAAAAGTCCAGAAGAAATATTGTTGGTTTTCTCTTAAAAGCAATTTAAATATTCAAATAAAAAATTTAATTTAAATATTGTTACAACGTTGTAAATGTCATAGTACTTTTAATAATCTTAATAAAAATAAAATGTTAATAATACATTACTTATTTATTATAAATCTACTTTTAATTATTTTTAATTTTTTTTTTTGATGTTGCTGATTTTCTTTGTTAGTGCAGACTGTTATAAAAATTTCAGAGTTTAGTATTTAAAGTTACCTAGATACCATAACCATTATACAGGTCTTTTTAGTTAGTTAATATCTAAATTAATATCTAAATTATATTATTTTAGTTATATTATTTAAGTGAAAATGAAATAAAATATAAGCAAAAAAATATATATTAAATATATATTATACTAAAGGTGAAAGCAATAAATATTTATTTACCGATTCCTCAGAAGTTTGAGCATTTTGATGTTTTACTTCACTTTCTCCTGTAGTTTCACTTTTAGATTCCACAGAGGTTTTAGCATATTGTTTCACTTCACTTTCTCCTGTAATTTTACTTTTAGATTCCACAGGAAGACTGTCTTTAACATCAGTCAGGTTAATCTTTTTAACTTCAGGTAAATCAGAGTCATTTTTTTTAATATTTGACATTTTAGATTCTTCACCAAATAATAGAACATTTTCTTTTTTAAGACCCGCATCTGCAAATTTTTGTGCCTATTGTTAAAACCAATTCTTAAATATAAACTCCTAATTTTAAATATGTCTAAAACCAAGTTAATAATAAAAACCTAAAAAATAATTTACCCATGAAGTGGTAGACTTATTGTTTGATATGTTCCTACGACCCAAAGAGCTCAAAATTCTTTTACGATGACCGAGTGGTGTCATATTCAGTACCTAAACAATTTACATAAAAATTGTAAAAGAAATATTTTTATTTTAGAAAATAAAAAAATACAAAAAAAAAACTAAAATAAAGTAAAGCATACAGTAAGAAGCTCAATGTCCCAAATCACCCTGACTCTGTCAATATTCTCATAACCATAACGAACAAACTTTCTTTCGTATTCAGATAGTTTCAATCTCCCTAACAGCTCACCAACATTCTTAGGAATAGGAAATTTTTCATCACCAATTTCTAACACTTTTGGAAGGTTTCCTATGGCTTCCATCAACATCCTAAAAAAAAAAATCAGTATCCATCTCATCAAATAATAAAACAAATTTTTAATTTTAATAAAAACAGTACTTTTAGAACATTAACATAACATTTACTACTACTACTATTATTGTTATTTTAATAAAAACAAATGAATTCAGAGGGGCCTGTGGCACGCATTTTCAGCAATCATTTACATATATAGATTTTATTTATTTTAAGAAGTGATGAAAAGCTGGGAAAAGCTAAGGAATATATATTGTGCATACTTAACAAGTATTTATATTAAGTTACAAATAATTCAATACAAATAACTAATACAAATCTTTGTCAGGTCAGGTTTATCCTGCTACTGGTTACATGTAACCCAGTACAATCTGCTTCATGTCCTGCCTTTGTAGGATACGCCTTTTTAGGCAAAGGCTAGGAGATGCCGACAAAAAACACCCCCTGTCTTAGGGCTCTTGATTGATTAAAGGCTAGAGATGGTGCCTCGATAAAAATACTCATCTTGGGCAAATGTTAAATGCATCTCGGTGCTGTCTTGTAGAAGGCCTCCTAGGCAAAGACTTAAGGGGTAAACAGATTCTACCTGTTGACCAGCCTCACACCCCTTCTCCATCTATTAGGCTGGCGCAGATGTATTTTTAATACATTGTTTCCAGTTTAGGATGGTGAATGCTGGATCTTTCTGGACTCGATGGATGGGTTTTGCTCTGTTTTTATGACTAGGCAACTCATTCTATTATCTCCTAATGAGGGTACAACTCTTAAACTCAGTTTTATGGTTCTGATGCCGGCTGGTAGTCAGATTTCCTGAACTCTGTGGTAGCTCTCAGAGAGGCTAATTCCATTAACAGCTGAAAAATATCAAAGTATTACCAGTGCCGTGTTGCGCATGGATGGTGTCCCTGTTTGTACTTTTGGTGTGCATTGGCAAGGCCACATTGGAGTCCTTTGTTACGGCTTAGGGTTTATTAATAGTAATGAGACTATTGTTTGGGCTATTAAACAGTGAGTACTATCTGTATTTCAAGTCAAGTTCTTTAACAAATTTAAAAATGAATAAAGTAACAAAAACTATAAAACACAAAAAAACATTGTCATCACCAAGTTTGCTAAATCTATCATTCACTAATATTCATGGGCTTCAAAGTAACTTTTCTTCTTTTGAGTCTTATCTCTTGCAAAGTTCACCAGACCTAGTTGCTCTTTGTGAGACTAATTTGAGTTCAGCTGTCTCATCTTGTGATCTTAGTGTTAATGGTTATCTTCCTTTAATTTGTAAAGATTCCAATAGTCACATGCTTGGCTTGGGCATTTACATTCGTAAGAATTCACCCATTTGTCGGGAAACTAGGTTTGATTACACAGACTACTCTTTTATGAGCTTTCGTTTAGCACCACTTCACTCTATCACCTTTCTCTTTGCTCTATATTTCTCTCCTTCATCTCAAGACTGCACTCTTCTTGATGTTACTTCTGATCATATTAACCAAACCCTCTCTCTTTATCCATCAGCCAATATTGTTGTTTTCGGTGACTTTAATGTTCATCACACTGAATAACTTGGCTCTAGTGTCAGTGACTCTGCAGGCATTAAAGCCCACAACTTTTGTCTTCCTCAATCCCTAACTCAAATAGGCAACTTTCCAGACAAACCGAATCATTTACCTTCTCTACTTGACTTATATCTTGTTTCTGATCATAGTCTGTGCTCAGTTTCTTCACATTCACCCTTAGGTGCCTCTGATCACAGTTTTATCTCTCTAAAACTATTACCTCATTCTTCTTTATCATCAGAATCCCCCTATCATCGTACATCTTACAACTACCTTAAATGTGATTTTTTTCATGATGGCCCTGGGATAAAAAACTTTTGTCTTCCTGTTGACAAATGTTCTTCTTACATAACTTCGTGCATTCAGGCTGGCATGTAATCCTTTATTCCCTCTTGATGACTCCAGGTCAAGCCTCACTCTTCTCCATGGTTTTCCTCACATTGTGCAGCTGCAATTGCCAATTGAAACCATTACTTCCATATCTATCAGCAAAACAATTCTCCAGAAAACAGACGTCTCTTTATTACTACTAGAAATCATTGTAAAAAGGTTTTGTCTAACGCCAAAGCCCGCTATTTTCAGATCATGAAATCTCGTATTTCATCACAAAAATTAGGCTCTTGTGACTTCTGGAGAATCTTTAATAGTATCAATAATAAGGGCAAGTCTATAATTCCACCTCTTTTGTACGGTTCAGACTTTGCCACCTCACCTAAAGACAAAGCTGAATTGTTTGCTAAGAACTTTTCATCAATATCATCTCTTCATTCCACTAGTTGCGTTCTACCTGATATAGCCGTCAAACAGGTTGATCTATTGCTTGACATTTGTATCACTCCAGCTTCTGTATCTAAAATGATTTCCTGCCTAGACTACAGCTTGTGGCCCGGACAACATACCTGTTATAGTCTTGCAGAAGTGTTCTCTGGAGCTGTCGTCTATCCTTTCAAAACTATTCAACAAGTGTTTATTAGAGTCTTGTTTTCCAGCCTGCTGGAAAGCAGCATCTGTTATCCTTATTTTAAAACATTCTGTAGAGCGATCTGATTTGTCTAACTACCGTCCCATTAGTCTTCTTCCTATCATATGCAAGGTTTTTGAATCTTTAATTAACAAACACTTAATTTTTCATCTTGAATCTAATAACTTACTTTCTGATCATCAATATGGATTTCGATCTTCTCATTCTACGGCTGATTTGCTAACAGTAATAACCGATAGGTTTTATCGGCATTAGATAAAGGTGGGAAGGTTAAGGCCATTGCTCTTGACATTTCTAAAGCATTTGATAAAGTTTGGCATGCTGGTTTTCTCCATAAGCTCTCTTCTTACGGTGTATCTGAAAACATCTTTAAGATTATTGAATCCTTCCTTTTCATTCGTAGTATAAAGTTGTCCTCAATGGACAGCACTCTTCTTCTTATTCTGTAACCTCAGGGGTTCTTCAAGGTTCAATCCTTGGCCCTATACTCTTTTTAATTTACATTAACGATCTCCCAGATACTCTCACATCTAAGGTGGCATTGTTTGCTGATGATACTACCATTTATTCTTGTCACAATAAGAAGCGAACTCTCTCTGATTGCTTGGAGGGGGTTTTTTTAGCTTTAAAAGGATCTCACTTCTGCTACAGCATGGGGCTCACAGTGGCTGGTGAACTTTAATTCAGATAAAATTTTTTTTTTTTTTTTCCAGCCAATAATTTAGACCTTCCTATATTTATGAATGGTAATGTACTCAATGAGTCATCTACCCTTCATCTTCTGGGATTGACTCTTACTTTTGATCTTTCTTGGAAACCATATATCAAATCCATTGCAAAATTAGCATCTGCTAAAGTTGCATCTCTTTATCAAGCTCGACACTTTCTTACACTAGATTCTATTCTCTATCTCTATAAATCTCAAATCCGGCCTTGTATGGAATACTGTTGCCATATCTGGGGCGGATCTTCTAATGATGCCCTTTCTCTTTTAGACAAGGTACAAAAACACATTGTAAACATAGTTGGACCTGCTCTTGCAGCCAACCTTCAACCATTATCACATCGTCGTAATGTTGCTTCTCTTTCTCTTTTCTACAAATACTATAATGGCCACTGCTCTAAAGAGCTAGCATCTCTTGTGCCATCTACTAAAATTCATTCTCGTGTTACTCGTCATTTAATTAAGTCTCATCTTTTTTATATTAATGTTCCTAAGTGCTCCAAAAACTCTTATTCGTCTAGTTTTTTTCCTCGAACATCAGTTCTTTGGAATTCGTTTTCTTCATCTTGTTTTCCTGATTCATAAAATTTGCAATCTTTTAAGTTGTCTTTCAATCGTTATCTTGCTCTATAGTCTTTATCTTTTCTCTTCCAGTAACTTCCAACACTAATTAATGGTTGCTTGCAGCCTTGTTGGAGGAAAAAAAATTTAGGACCTCTCAGGACCAAAATCAGTTTTATTTATTAGTAGCAGATTCTCACTTCTCAGTGAGATTCTCACTAACCTTTCTAAGATTCTCACTAACTTTTTTCAGATTCTCACTAACTTTTTTCCATTTTTTGATATCATTTAAAGTAAAGGTTGTTAATTTCGAATAGCACACTTTAAAAGCACTCAACATTCTACTGGATTCTCTTTCTTTATTAAACATTGGACTGAAGAAACCATGAAGAAATTTAAATGATTGAGTATCAGCCAAGTACACAGTACTTTTATCATAAGCAATAACTATTCAGGCAGTTTGAATGTCAGAATTGCTCCAAACATATGCAGAAGTTGCTGAATTCATAAACATCCAATAGTTTTTTATGTTGTCTGCAAAATAATCGATGAATATTTTCTATACATTACAATGTCATCTCTTTCATGCCCATTAACAAACGGACAAAGTTTGTTATTCAACCAGAAAAATTCTTAAATAAAGAATTTAAAACAGTGCTTCTGTACAGTTGGAATGTTTTTAAACTCAACGTGATTCTATTTATTTGGATTTGTTGATGTTAATGTAAGAACCATAAAAATTGAATAATTGTTTTGCTTTAAATTTCATTTCAAATAGTCTTCATAATATACGCCGCTATCTACAGACTAGATAATTTATTCAAGTGCTTTCAATTTCTTAGAATTTTAGAACACAAATTCATTAAATTTTTTTGTTTGTTTACATATTCAATCTTTTAAAACAAACAAAAAAAAAATCAATGACATCATGTACTATAACTCTTAGAAATACTTAAATATATTATCTGTAGGTTGCAGCGTTTATTATGAAAACTTTTTGGCCTGCAACAAAACGGAGAAGGCATGCTTTGACTGAAATAAAATAATTAGTTAGTCTTTGTATGCACTTATTTTATTGTTTTGATTAAAAAATTTAGCCCAAACATTTTTTTTTTTATCATTATCTTTAACATAAACATGTCTTGGAGGTTTGGGATCCCTTTAATGGCGTAGCTATAGGCTGATTCGGAA